CGTCATAGGAAATAGTCAATAATATAGTAACAACTATGTATGGTGCCAAGTAGGTAGTGGAAAATTCAGAGGGAACACTTTGTAAAGTATATGGTTATCTAACCACTATGCTGTACACCTGAAATTAACACAAAATAATATTGAATATAAACTATCATTGAAAAAATAAATTTTAAAAACATGTGGTTTCAGCATAACAACAGACACATTGACCAGTGGAAAAAAATAGGGAACCCAGAAATAAACCTGAGCACATATGATCAACTAATATTTGACAAGAATACTTAATGGGGAAAGAAGAGTCTCTTCAATAAATGGTTTTGGGAAAACTAGATGGTCACATAAAAAAAATGAAAGTGGACACTGTCTTACATCACTCTCAAAGTTAACTTCAAATGATTTAAAGACATATGTATAAACTGAAACTGTAAAACTCCTAGAGAAAAAGCTCTGTGACATTGATCTTGTGATTTTGGGGTATGACACCAAAAGCATAGGCAACAAAAGCCAAAATAAACAAGTGGTACTACTAAGAAGCTCTGCATGATAAAAGAAACAGTCAACAAAATGAAAATGCAACCTACAGAACAGAGAAAATATTTGCAAACAGCTGCCAGATAAAGGGTTACTATCTAAAATATATTAAAAAACTTATACAACTCAACTACAACAAAAATGATAAAACACATAAACACATAATTCAATTAAGAAATGGGGAAAGGACATAAATACTTATTTTTCCCCAAAAAAAAGACATACAAATAACCAATAAGTATATTCAAAGATGCTCAACATTACTAATCATTTAAGAAATGTAAATCAAACAATGAGATATTACCCCACACTTATTAGAATGGCTAATATCAAAAGACAAGAGATAATAAATGTTGTTGAAGATGTAAAAAAAAAAGGTACCCATGTGCACTGTTGATGAAAATGTAAATTGGTACAACCACTAGAAAAAATGCTATGGAAGTTACTCAAAAAATTAAAAATGAAACTTCCATGTGATCCAGCTATCCATCAAAAGAATAAAATACTTAGAAATAAATTTAACTAAGGAAGTTAAAAAATTATAATCTAAATACTACAAAACATTTTTGAAGAAAAACACAAATAAGTAGAAAGACATCCATTGTTCTTGAATGGCAAGTCTTAATATTGTTAAATTATTTATACTGCATGAAACAATCTACAGCTTCAATGCTATTCCTGTCAAAACATAAAGGAAAAGCTTTATGACATTGGATATGGCAATAATTTATTGGATATGACACCAAAAGCAATATAGAAAAAATTGATAAATGTAACTACATCAAATTTTAAAACTCTGTGCATCAAAGGAAATAATCAACAGAGTGAAAGGACAATTCACAAATCATATATCTGATAAGTTAATAGCTAGAATATATAAAACTTTAACAACTCAATAACAAAAGAATTGGGCAAAGGACCCTGGCTCATTTGGCTCAGCAGTTAGAGCATTGCCCTGTGGACCAAAGGGTCTCAGGTTCGATTCAAATAAAGGGCACATGACTTGGTTGGGGTCGTGCAGGAGGCAACCAATCGATGTGTCTCACACCAATGTCTCTCTCTCTCTCTCTCTCTCTCCCCCTTTCCCCCAACTCCCACTCCATCTGAAAATCAAATGGGAAAATATCCTCAGTGAGGATTAAAAAAATAAAATAATATGGGCAAAGGACTTGAATATTCTGTGGTGATGGACGTTAAATAGACTTATTGTGGTGATTATTTTGCAATATATACAAATATCAAATCATTATGTTGTAAACCTAAAACTAACATAATGTTATATGTCAATTATACCTCAATAAAAAGAATAATAATTATTTTAGTTTATCTTTGCTGTTGAATGTATTACAGATGTTCCTCATTTTTCCCCTATTGACCCCCTCCTCCCCACTCCTGACCCCCTCCTGCCTTTCCCCACACTGTTGTCTGTATCCATTTGTTATGCATATATACATATAAGTTCTTTGGTTTATCTCTTCCCACCCCTCCATACCCCCTTCCCTTTAATGTTTGTCAGTCTAACAACCAATTTGTACTTCTTAATCCCTTCACCCATTTCCCCAACCCCCCTCCCATCTGGCAACCAACAAAATGTTCTCTGTATCTATGAGAATGCTTCTGTTCTGCCTGTTCATTTTGTTTGTAGATTCAATTGTTGATAGATATGTATTCATTGCCATTTGGTTTGTTCATATTTTTATCTTTTTCTTCAAGAAGACCCTTCAGCATTTTATATAACACTGATTTGGTGATGATGAACTCCTTTAGCTTTTTCGCTTTTTCTTGTCTAAAAAACTCTTCATATGGCCGATTCTAAATGACAGCTTTGCAGGATAGAGTAATCTTGGTTGTAGGGTCTTGCTTTTCATCACTCTGAATATTTCTTGCCACTCCCTTCTGGCCTGCAAAGTTTCTTTTGAGAAATCAGCTGACAGCCTTATGGGAACTCCCTTGTAGGTAACTAGCTGCTTTTTCTTGCTGCTTTTAAGATTCTCTCTTTGTCTTGAACCTTTTGCATTTTGATGATGATGTGTCTTGGTGTGGGCCTCTTGGGTTCATCTTGTTTGGGAATCTCTGTGCTTCCTGGACTTCTATGTCTGTTTTCTTCACCAAGTTAGGAAAGTTTTCTGCCTTTATTGGTTCAAATAGGTTTTCGATTTCTTGTTCTCTCTCTTCTCCTTCTGGCACCCCCAAGAAGTGAATGTTGGCACGCTTGAAGTTGTCCCAGAGGCTCCTTACACTATCCTCATTTTTTTTAATTCTTTTTTTTTTTTTTTTTTTTTTTGCTGTTCTGATTGGGTGTTTTTTCTTCCTTATATTCCAAATTGATGGTTTGCTTCTTGGCTTTGCCTACTCTACTATTGAATCTGTGTAAATTATTCTTTATTTCAGTTAGTGCCTCCTTCATTTCTGACTGGTCCTTTTTTATGCTCTTGAGGCCCTCACTAAGTTCACTAAGGTTCTCACTAAGTTCATTGAACATCCTTATAAGCAGTGTTTTGAACTCAGCATCTGTCAGGTTGCTTATCTCCATTTCACTTAGTTCTTTTTCTGAAGTTCTGTTCTATTCTTTCATTTGGGACCTGTTTATTTGTCTCCTCATTTTGGCTGCCTCCTGTGTTTGTTTCTATGTATTACTTAACAAGAGGTATGGGGCTAGCTGAGACCAGACACTACTTGTTTGAAAGAATTCAGGAAAACCTGAAGCAGGAGCCAAGACAGGCCAATTCTATGGTAAAGCAACTGGCAACAGTTTTGGTGGGCCTGAAAGTTGGGTGTAGCAGGGCCTCAGGGAATCACCAGGGCGGGGCAAACAGTGTGAGCCAAGTTGCTGGAGTCCCAGATATGGTGGCTGTCTGCTGCCCCAGGGAAGGACTCACCAAAGGAACAGAAGCCTCTGATAGCACATCTGTCCAGGAGAAAGCTGCCTCTCCTGCCCTTGCTCCAATGCCAAACAACTCATTTCTTCCCCATATATCTCTGGTACCTTTCAAGCTGCCTCCCCCATGTTGGAGCCTGGAGGGTGTGAGTCCGATTAAGTCTGTGCACATGCCCTTTAAGAGGAGCTGCCTGGGGCTCCAGCCACCTCAGCTTCTTTCAGCCTCAGTTCCCACTGGTTTTTCCAGCCAGAAGTTATGGAGACTTCTCTTCCTGGCACTGTAACCCTGAGCTGGGTTCCTGGTGTGGGATAGGGACCCCTCAGTTATCAGGGAGGACCTTCCCAGCTGAGGTATCCTTCTAATTTTTTTTCCACCACACATGGGTGTGGGACCAGCCCATCGTGCCTCCGCCCCTTCTACCAATCTTGATGTGGCTGCTTCTTTAATTTTGTAGTTGTAGGACTTCCATTCTGCTTGATTTCAGGTGGTTTTGAATGATGGTCATTCTGTAGTTTAGTTATAACTTTGATGTGGTTGTGGTAGGACGTGATACTGCATTTACCTACACCACCATGTTGACTGGAAGTCTTCAAACAATAATAATATTTTAATGGGCAAAGCACTTGAATAGACATTTCTCCAAAGAAGGTATACAAATGACCAATAACTACATGAAAAGATGCTTAATATTGTTAATCAACAAAAAAATGCAAGTCAAAACCATAATGAATATCATCTCATACCCATTAGAATGGTCACTGTTAAAATAAAGGAAAAGAAAATAAGTGTTGTCAAGGATTTGGAGAAATGGAACCCTGTGCATTCTTTGCAGGAGTATAAAATAATGCAGCCATTGTGTAAAACCATTAATGGTTCTTCAAAAAATTAAAATTAGAATTACTATATGATTCAGCAATCCCACTTCTAGGTATGTATTCTAAGTAATTGAAAGAAGGATCTCAAAGAGATATTTGCACATTCATGTTCATTGCAGCATTATTCTCAATAGTCAAGAGGTGGAAGCATCCCAAATTTCCATCAATACATGAATGGATAAACATGTAATATATGTTTATAATGACAAAAAGAAATATGGCTCTGGCTGGGTGGCTCAGTTGGTTAGAGCTTCCTCCCTCACAACAAAGGTTGTGGATTCAATTCCCAGTTAAAGCATACACCTAGGTTGTGGGTTCCATCCCTGATAGGGGTGGGTAGAGGATTCAACTGATCAGTGCTTCTTTCTCTCTCTCTCTCTCCCTAAAAATCAATAAAACTTATCATTGGGTGAGGATTAAGAAAAAAAAGACATAATACTACTTACACAAAGTAGCTAAAGTAATCAACCTCTAGAAACAGAAAGTAGAGGGTAGTTGCCAGGAATTTGAGGAAAGAGGAAATGGCTAGCTGTTCAATGGGTACAGAGGTTCGGTTTTTCAAGATAAAAAAAAAATTGTAGCAATCTTTTTGCAACAATGTGAATATAGTTAACTACTGAACTATACAATTTAAGAACTATTAAAATGACAAATTTTGTTTTTAATTAAATTTATTTTATTTTAATGAAAATGCAAAATAAAACAAAAGTACCTGCTCCGCTTTTGTGTTGATCACCACCAAATGAGCCCCCATCACAACACAGTTCTGCTCACTTTTAGTCCAAAAAGTCTGTTCATTAGAAATAAAGTAGCAGCTGGAACCAAAATATTTCCAAGTACTTGGGCAACATCCCCAGACTTTTTCTATGTTTCATGAAAGAGAAGAGTAAACACAAGATATATAAAATTAAAGAGGTAAGATCCATACATGTGAAATTCCAAGGATCTGCGGTTGTTTTCTAGACATGGGCTTCTTAATTCATGTATTTATTGTTTTCTAAATTATATAATTTGGGGCCATAGAATTGCTTTTAATTAAACATTCTTTAACATTAAGTTCTCAATATTTACCAAGGTGTCCCTGCAGAATTCCTCTGGGTTTTATTTGTTTGTTTGTTTTTGCTACAAAATCACTATTAGTGATTATTTTCCTTTTGTTCTTTATATTCCTTCTATATTAGATGCACCATGTGTGTCAGCATTACAAATGACTAATAAAGGTGCCTCAAATGACAGTTCTATGTAACAATATTGGGCAAACCACAAGCCTCACATTTTTAAACTGGAAATAATCATTATTCACAGGATAATTATGAGAATTAGAATTATGCCTCATTAGAATTTTTGTTCCACCATTTATTATGTATGCCTTTGGGCAAATTACATAATCTCTTTGATCCTTAGTTATTTCCTCTTTGAAATGGAAATAACAGCATTGTCAAACCCAAAGGTTAACTTAATCACATAATATGTGCAAAGCACTTTAAAAAATGCTTAACATGGAATCCATAAAAATCCTAGAAGAAAGTGTAAACAAAAAAATTTTAGACATCACACCCAGCAGAATTTTGACTGATACAATGCACAAAGAAAGAAAAACAAAGGAAAAAATTAATACATGGGAGTATATCAAGCTAAAAAGCTTCTGCACAGCAAAAGAAACAAGCATCAAAATGGAAAGGGAGGTGGGTCTCTTATAAACAACATATACATGATTCATGCTTTCTTATCCAATCAGCTACACTCTGTCTTTTGTTATGAGCATTTAATTTATTTACATTTAAGGTTATTATTGATATGTACAGGGGAGTTTTACCAAACATTCAAAGAAGAACTAATACCCATTTGCCTCAAATTATTCCAAAAAATTCAAGAAGAAGGAAGACTTCCAATCTCATTTTATGAGGCCAGCATAATTCTAATTCTAAAACAAGATATAGACACTACACACACACACACACACACACACACACAAACTAAAGGCCAATATCCCTTATGAACACAGATGCCAAAATCATTAACAAAATATTAGCAAATCAGACCCAGCAATACATTTTAAAAAAATTATTCACCATGACCAAGTGGGATTCATCCCAGTAATGCAAAGCTGGTAAATATTCACAAATCAATAAATATGATACACTACAAAACAAAATTAAAAATAAAAACCATATGATAATATCAATAGAAGCTGAAAAAGCATTCAACAAAATCCAGCACCCATTTCTGATAAAAACACTCAGCAATGTGGGAATAGAGGGATCATATCTTGACATAATAAAGACCATATATGAAAGACCTACAGCCAACATTATACTCAATGGGCAAAAACTAAAAGCATTTCTCTTAAGAACAGGAACAAGACAGGGATGCCCACTTTTACCACTCTTGTTTAACATAGTACTGGAAGGCTTAGCCATAGCAATCAGACAAGAAGAAAAAATAAAAGGGATCCAAATTGGAAAGGAGAAAGTGAAACTATTATTATTTGCAGATGACATGATATTGTACATAGAAAACCCTAAAGACTCCACCAAAAATCTACTAGATTTAACTTGCCAATTTGGCAAGGTAGCAGGATACAAAGTTAACATCAAGAATTCAACACCATTCTTATACACCAATAATGAACAAACAGAAAAAAAATCCCATTTACTATTGTGGCAAAAAGATTAAGATACCTAGAAATAAACTTAACCAAAGAATTAAAGGACCTATTTGCAGAAAACTACAGGACATTGGGGGGGGGGGGAAGAAAGATATAAAAAAGTGGAAACATATACCTTGTTCATGTTTTGGAAGAATTAACGTCATTAAAATGTCCATACTACCCAAAGCAATCTATAGATTCAATGCAATCTCCATTAAAATGCCAACGATATATTTCACAGAACAAGAACAAAAACTTCAAAAGTTTATATGGAACCAAAAAAGTTCCCAGATAGCCACAGCAATCTTGAAAAAGAAGAACAAAGTAGGAGGGATCATAATACTAGATATCAGGTTATACCACAAAGCCATTGTAATCAAAACAGCCTGGTACTGGTACAAGAACAGGCATACAGATAAATGGAACAGAATAGAGAATCTGGAAATTGACCCAAGACATTGTGTTCAAAGAGCGTACAATGACGTAAAGACAGCCTCTTTAATAAATGGTGTTGGGAAAATTGGACAGTTACATTAAAAAAAATGAAGCTATACCACCGACTTACACCATATACAAGAATAAACTCAAAATGCATAAAAGACTTAAATGTGATTCCTGAATCCATAAAAATCCTAGAAGAAAATGTAGGCAACAAAATCAGACATCACAGACAGCAGAATTTTCACTGATACAATGCTTAAGGCAAGAGAAACAACGGAAAAAATGAATACATTGGGACTACATAAAACTAAAAAGCTTCTGCACAGCAAAAGAAACAACCATCAAAATGAAAATGGAACTCACTATATAGGAGAGCATAACTGCCAATGATACATCAGATAAGGGGTTAATTCCCAAAATATATAGAGTACTCATACAATTCAACTAAAAGAAGACAAAGAACCTAATTAAAAAATGGGCAGAGGACCTAAATAGACACCTCTCCAAATAGGACATACAAATGGCCAAGAGACATATGAAAAAATGCTCAACATCACTAATCATCAGAGAGATACAAATTAAAAGCAACTCTGAAGTATCACCTCACACCTGCCAGAATGGCTGCCATCAACAAATCATCAAACAAGTGCTGATGATGGTGTGGAGAAAAGAGGACCCTAGTACACTGCTAGTGGGAATGCAGACTGGTGCAGCCACTATGGAAAACAATATGGTGCTACCTCAAAAAATTAAAACTATAACTGCCATTTGACCCAGTGATTCCACTTCTAGGAATATATCCTAAGAAGCTTGAAGCACCAATCAGGAAGAAAATATGTACTCCTATGTTCCTCGCAGCACTATTTACAATTGCTATAATCTGGAAACAGCCCAAGTGTCCATCAATAGATGAATGGATAAAAAGCAATGGTACATAGACACAATGGAATACTATGCAACTGTAAGAAAGAAAGATCTCTTATTCTTTGAGACAACATGGAGGGACCTGGAGAGTACTATGCTAACTGAAATAAGCAAATCAGGGAAAGATAGATATCACATTATCTCACTTATTTGTGGAATACAATGAACAGAAAAAACTGATGAAGAAAGTAGACCCAGAGACATAGAAAGGAGAACAGTTCATACTGACAAACTTCAAGGGAGCAGGCCTAGGGTGGGTGTGGAGGGATGAGATAAACCAAAGAATTTATATGTGTGTACGTGTAACCAATGGATATAGACAATAATGCTGGGGGGTAGGGATAGGGAGGAGGGTCTCTGGGAGTAAAAAGGAGAAATATCTGTAACAGAAATAAATTAAATAAAAATAAATAAATAAAATAAGAACAAATTACATACAAAAAATAAATAAGTAAATGCTTAACATGGAATAATTGCTGATAAATATTATCAATTCTAATTTTTACATAGTATCAAGCATGTGTTTTAAAAATTATTAGTTCTCTCTCCTTTCCCCTTAGAAACACCAGTTTGTCACTTTCCTAGAATTAAAAAAATCTGTAGCTAACCATATACAAATCCACTCACATATTTTGATTATATATGTATACATCAATGTTTATATATAATTTTGGCACATATGTATGCATGCCTAAATAATAAGTTGTTTTGATTTGTTCAATTTTAAATATTTTTGAAAGTATAATATATGTGGTCCTCTTGGCTTAATTTTTTATTCCACATTGCTAAGATTTATTCATGTTGTCATATATAGCTTTATTTATTCATTTTTAATGTTATTGTATTAAAATATACATATTAAGTGATGAGAAACAATCTATAAAATTATTCTCCCTTTTATAATATTATAATATGAATGAAATAGACCATATCTATATTATTTTTCTATTGGCAACTTTTGGAAGTCTATCTGAATTATGCATTCTGTTCATTACTAAAGATTGTTTTTCATAATATTCATTAAATTGTGTATTAACAATATTTTAATTTTGAAAGTCTAATTGGGCAGACTGTTTTGATGGTGGGGATTGTCTTTGTCGGTTATGTATGGCAAACATTTTTCATATGTTAATTATGCTAAATCTCCAGTTCCAAGTTTGACAAAACTATTAAAAGCTGTAATGAAAAGAAGCATTTGTCAAAAAGATATATTGACATCAATAATGTTTTATTTTTCCATTTGTACTGAGAATAATGAGCTGAACAAGGTGCTTTGTAAGTATAAATAGAAGTGTAATTAATAGTCACTTGATAAGACTTATAATATCCTCTTTTTTGTGTAATTCCCAGAAATTAAGAAAGCAAATGACTGTTGACTGAGAAAAAAACAAACCTTTTGTAAATTGTTTTATTTATTATTTGTATATTTAACAATATTAAACAATTACCAAATCAAATTCTCAGTGAACAAAGTACTACAAATAACTTTTGATACTAGATCACTATATGTCTTTTTGGCAAAAAAAAAACCTAAAAATTGGGTGATATTATAACAGCACTTTCTATTCTATCAATTTATTTAGATAAATAAGATTTATCAGATTGTGCTGCTAAAATAAAAAATAAGAATAAAATTGATGTTGGATTCTATCTCATTCCAGTAATAGTATTATTCAGTAGTAAGTACATCTGATTACTTTTTTAAAAAATATTTTTTACTTTATTGATTTTAGAGAGAGAGGAAGGGAGAGGGAAAGAGAGACAGAAACATTGATGAGAGAGAACATTGATTGGCCACCTCCTGCATGCCCCCACTGGGGATTGGGCCCACAACCTGGGCATGTGCCCTGACCAGGAATCAAACCAGTGACCTCTTGGTGCATGGGTCGACACTCAATGACGGAGCCACACCGGCCAGGCTGATTACATATTTTAAACTCCATTTGTCTCATTAAAAGATGGGCTTCTGATAGTTTTATTTTATTAGTAATAATTTATCAAAATATATAATAAATGTATAATGTTTTGAATATTATAGTCTGATGATAATTGTAATAAATTAATCCAGAAGAAATTTTATAACTTTTAAGGCTTAATGTTCCATAGGAAATAAAAATATTTTTAGACATGTTTTTATTTACATATCTTAGTAGACGGGAAATTTCTGTGTAAATATTAGTCCAAGAGGGGAAAAGAATTATGTAAGACACACAACTGTTAAATAATACATGGTTTTTGTTTTTTTTTAATGCATGATGGGAGTGGAGATAACAATTTGTAACAGTATCTAGACACCAGAGATACATTTTAAAAACAGGTGTAACAGTTCTGTTTTTAAATGTTAATATTTACAATGTTCCAGAAATTAAAGCTTGTACTACTATTACATTATTTTTAAAAATTAGATGTCAGATTAAATTGTATAAGGGGGTACACAATTTTTCAAAACCTTTCTGGAAGTTGACATGCAAAATAGTTCAAAGACCACAGGTATAGGCAAAGCACAGACTTATTGAAGAAACTGTAACTTTTCTCATGCTTCTAAATGTCTCAACACTGATTAAGACTGAGTGGCAAACAAATTGGAAAAGATACATGTGGATTCCAATTATTTTTTTTACCTTTAATGAAAATGAAAATTTTGTGTTTGGACTTTTAACTTTTTATTGTGATAATAATTTGAAGGATATTCTTAAAGTCTGAGCACTTTTATTTGCTGACATATTATATAAAATTATTTTATCATATAAACTTATCTATAACTTGAATAATTTGTATTAAACAATTTGAAGGGCTATAATAGCAAGTCAGTTTGCTAGATGGATGCAGAATTAACTTAGTTAATATCCATCTTTGTCTCATTTATTTTAGAGCATTCTGAAGGCAAAGGCTAAAGTACCCATTGCTGTTGTAATCTTTAAAACTCTGGTTGTAGATACAGGAGTGACTCCAAATGGTGAGTGGAAGATGATATTGACGCAATTATGTTTTTCTCCCCAGGAGTGCCAGCTCTACAATTGACAAAAAAAAAAAAAAAAACTCAGTGTGACAAGAAATCCCTGCTTCAGAGAAAGTAAAGAAAATCATTCTTCACCACCCCTATGCATCCTATTTGTACCAAAAATGAAAAAAGGGAAAAATTCCAACATCTCATAGAAATAGAAAGAAACTTTCATCTTTTCTTTACTTCTGATAGAGTTTTTTCCATAAAAGCAGAGTTGTGAATACTAAGAGTCTGACTTCTATTTGTATTTTTTTACTTAGAAGGAGTAAGGCCATAAAGACCACCAAAAGCATGCATTTTGCCTTTGGCATTTCTTACTAGACAGTGCAAGTCAGACCACGATTCTAAATCCAACTCTTAACTGTCCATAAACAAAGGTACCAGAACTACATTTTAAAGTGAGGACAGTCTCTTCTTGAGCCATGTTTCACCATCCAAATAGACCAGTAATAAAGTTGATGCTTAGAATGGAGATAGGTGTTACTCACTAGGAAACTTAGATAACAAAAGGAAATTTTATCCAAATGATAAGGGTAAGGATAATTTGAAACCAAAACTTTTATGAAAAATTTTCAGGGTTGGCTTGAGCAAATTGCATGGTGTATGGTAATAGCACTTACTGATCTCAAGAAGTCTGGAGGAGAGCAAATTTAGAGCCTGATATGAGCATGTCAGTTGAAAATATCCAAGTAGAGACTTTATCATTATTATTATTTTAAAAAGATTAAACCAATCTTGAGCTCATCCTTGACCTCTCTTTCTCTGAGGAAAGAGAAAGTCTGGTTAAGAATTGCAACACCTTTAGCTCAAAAAATTAAAAATTGAATTGCCATTTGACCCGGTGATCCCACTTCTAGGAATATACCCGTAGAAGCCTGAAACACCAATCAGAAAGAATATATGTACCCCCATGTTCATAGCAGAACTATTTTCAATAGCTAAGATCTGGAAGCAGCCCAAGTGTCCATCAGTAGACGAATGGATAAAAAAAACTGTGGTACATATACACAATGGAGTACTATGCAGCTGTAAGAAAGAAAGATCTTTTATCCTTTGAGACGACATGGAGGGACCTGGAAAGTATTAACCTGAGCTAAATAAGCCAAGCAGAGAAAGACAAATATTACATTATCTCACTTATTTGTGGAATATACTGAACATAACAGTCTGAGGAACAGGGTAGACTCAGAGACATGGAAATAGGGTACAGACTGACAACCCTCAGAAGAGGGGGTGGGAAGAGGGGAGACAAACCATAGAACTTTTGTGTGTGTACACATGGCTGATGGACATAAACAACAGGGCTGCGGACGGGGGTGGAGGGAATGGGAAGGAGGGTGTCGATGGGGAGAGGGGGAGAAAATCTGTAACAAAAATTAATTTAAAAAAGTGAAGAGCCCTGGCTGGTTTTCTCAGTGGTTAGAGCATCGCCCTGTGGTCCAGAGAGATCTGAGTTCAGTTTCCACTAAGGGCATGTACCTCAGTTGCGGTTTGTCCCTGGCCCTGGGTCGTGCGGGTGGCAACCCCTCGATGTGTCCCTTTTACGTCACTGTTTCTCTCTCTCTCTCCCCCTCCCACTCTATCTGACCAAAATATGGAAAAATGTCCTCGAGTGAAGATTAAAAAAAAAAAGAAGTGAAGAAATTTTTGTTCATTTTGTTTCTTAAGGAGTATAACGTTTTGATGCTTTGTTTGGTTCTGGAGTCGAAGGTTAAGAATGTTTTGAAATTTTTTTTTATTCTTTTACTCAAATTTTATTTTATTAATTAACATATTTTTGTTGTAGATGTTTCTCCTTTTTCCCCCATGAACGCCCTTCTCCTGGTCCCACCCCCCCACACACAGGGTTATTATCTATGTCCATTGGTTGTACATATATATATATAAGTTCTTGAAATATAACGAACAGTAGTATAATTATTGATATATTAGCAATAAATCATGTTGATTTCTTAAAAATTAAAAACAAAACAAACAAAAAAATTGCAACACTTTACCTGTCGCCCTTGTCTCTTCACTGAAGCAGGTTAGACCTGAATGATAGGTGTGTAATTCAGACAGCCTCTTGTTAGTTTTGACATATGTAAAATCATAAGTCACTGTGGAGGAGGAAAAAGATAATATCCATCTTTTCTTTTGCTATAAAGCCTTATGTTCTATAAATCTGTGCCAAGCAGTCTTCCCTCCAACTGCCACCATTTTCTCTATTCAAGCTCAGTAAAGACCATGTTCAATTACTGTTTATGTGTGTTCATTTATTAAACCTGCAATTTTATTTTTTGCTCTTTTCTCATTGAAATTTAAGCTGTATATTCTAGGACAGAGATTCTACCTCTTTTCTACTTCAATTAATCACAAATACCTAGAACAGTGACTGTCAAAAAATAATCTATAGATATCTGTTGACCCACTGGCTATCTGTTTCTCCTTAATTTTCATAAGCATGAAGCAAGCATGCACATTATTTTTATATTTTCTAAAATTTCTGACTGCTGGTAGATACAGATGAACATATGAGGTAAACAGAAACCAAGGGGAGTCTTTAAACATTTAAAGACATTTGAAATGTTTCAAATAAACATTCATTTTTATTTTCAAGGGTGTGCACATTAAGCAAGACCTGTTCTCGTTTGGATCATGATTTGTTTCTTCACTCATTTATGTGTTGGGCTCTACTACTGAAGCTCTGTACTGTCGAGCCTTTCTATCTTTCTCTTAGCCTGTGCTTTGGGGTTCTGCATATCTGCTTCCTCTTGATTAACATAATAACTTTTCTTAAACCCTCTTCTCTCTCGTACTTTACCATGAAAAGTGAAACAGATTCTAACTTGGTGATAATTATTTGTGTTTTACTAAAGACAAATACATTTATTTATATCTCACAAGAACTTCAAACAGGCCCATTTGATGTATGGTCACTTTCACTTTCTTCCAAACTATTTAATAACTATTTTAATTACCTTATCAGTGAATAGAGAACAAAATTTGAAAAAAAAATGTTTGACTTTTCTCACAAAATGTACTTGAAATATTTATTTGGAGGCAAATGGAACAGAAAAGAAACATTTTGTTCCCTTACATCTCCAGTGTTTAATTTTTTATATTAGAAAAGACTCCCACAAGAACATCAAAGAGGCTACTCTAAAGTATTATTATTGTAAAAAAGCAATTATAGTTGTGTTCTCAATTGAGGGCTTTTGTGACTAGAGAACATGTGATCACTAATGAACCATGTAGTGAAAAATTATGTCTTAGACTTAGAAGATGACTATAATTAACATCCATCCATATGTGAGGTCACGATTGAAAATATACTAATAAAACCAGGTGAAATATATCTGGAAGAAAATCAATTATCAAAAGACAAAGAAAAAAGAGGGAGGAGAAGGAGGAAGAGGAAGAAGAAGAGGAAGTAAAATCAAGAAAAGCATGGCATTCCAAGTAGCAGCTAACATATTAATGGTGTAAGAGAGAACAAACCTTAGGAAATCTTTATAGAACATGATACAGAAAGGAATCAAGAGAGTGTCACCTCATGAAGAACTTACCCACACAACTCACAATGAAACAAGCACTAAGGAGTGCTATGGAAATCACAGCAACAGACCAGATCTTCACTTGGGGCCACCATACTGCTTTCTCTGTCAGAAAAGCAAGACAAATGCAAATACCAAGGGGCCAACGAGCCAGAGTTCCTAAGAAGCTTAAAACAATGAAGAAACTGGGTGAAGTCTGGCTGGTATGGCTCAGTGGTTGAGCATCAACCCATGCACCAAGAGGTTGCCGGTTCGATTCCTGGTTATGGCACATGCCCAGGTTGTGGGCCTGATTCCCAATGGGGGCGCATGCAGGAGGCAGCCAATTGATGTTCTCTCTTATCAATGTTTCTCTTTCTCCCTCCCCCTTACCCTCTCTCTCATGTCAATAAAGGGGAAAAAAGAAACTAGATGCAGAATCTTATATTAATTAAAAACCTAAAAGAAGGAGAGAGCTTAAAAACTCCTTCAGATGGTAATGGAAGGAGACTTGACTTGGGGTGCTAAACACACCATACAATATACAGATGATGTGTTATAGAATGTATACCTAAAACTTACATAATTTCAATAAAATAAATAAATAAAAATTTTAAAAGAAACTACCTCAGAATAAATAACTAGGTGATAGCACTAAAGTCTTAAACAATCTGGGGAAAAGTCATCTTCAATCAACTGTAATTTCTACTTCCTTTTTTTTTTCTTCTTACATATTGTATTCACACATGGATTCCTCTTTTTTTTTTTTTAAACATCACTTATGTCTCCTGATGCTCATACCACTGTATTAATATTTGGTTTCTTATTCTGTCAAGTATTTCTGGCTCTAAGGAATTTTTCTTTCTTCTAACTTCTCATGACTGCTATGGTGGTACAATCTTTATCCCTTCAGTCTTTTCATTGTCTACCTCTATTCTTCAGATAACTCATCATCTTATCATACACTTCTATCTTTCTCTCTGAAATGAAGAAAAAAAAATGTTTACCTCTACCTTGACGTTGTTCTTTTTGCACCATTATGCAGGCTTCCTGTGTTCAGAAGGCCCAAGAGCCTCTTGTGTGTGTGGGTCTTTCTGAAGATGTTACCTGAGCCTTGGCTTCATTCAAATAGCTCAGAGATGAGACAAAGAGCTAAACACTCTGATGAAACTAAGAGACTTAAAATATAAAGTGTGCCTCAAAAGAAGAAGTTGTGGTTTAGGCTAAAGTTTCTGTTGATTTTAAAATATCAGGAAAAATAAGAGGAAATTGAGAAACATATCCAAAACAGTTCATGGAAACTTTGACAAGAATGTTCAGATCATTTGTTCAGTTTCTGTCATTAAGTTTCTCTCTCTGATTCCTGTTTATTTTGGCATGCAAAATAGAAAATTTTATAAGCTAAAAGAAATTTATTTATAAGACTTACTTAATTTAAGTTCTTCTTAGTCAATCTTTACATTGGATTCGATGTAAGGTTTAATCCATGTCCTAGGAAGTGAGCAACAGTCTTATTGAATGGATATGACTTAGAAAATATGTTAATATAATAAATTACTTAAAGATCTGTGGACATGGTTCAGGAATATGATTGCAAAATATAACGTTAAGGAATTTATCTGCAAAAGTAATTAAACATCCTTCTTCTTTTTATTAAGTTAAAAGTATTACAGATGTCCCCCTCTTCTTCCCCATTGACCTCTCCTCCCTGCTCCCACTCCCTTCCTGCTTTCCCCAAACTAACATCTGTGTCCATTGGTTGTGCATATACGCATATACCTTGGTTTATCTTTTCCCAACCTCCTCTTCCCCCATTCAGCTGAGGTTTGTCAGTCTGTTCCCTACTTCCATGACCCTGGATCTATTTTGTTTGACAGCTTATTTTGTTCATTATATTCCACAAATAAGTGAGATCATGTGGTACTTCTCTTTTTTTGTCTGGCTTATTTTGCTCAACATAATACCCTCCAGGTCCCCCATGTTGTCTCAAAAGATAAGGGATCTTTCTTTCTTATAGCTGCATAGTATTCCATCGTGCAAATCTATCACTGCTTTTTTATCCACTCATCTACTGATGGACACTTGGAGTGTTTCCAGATCTTAGGTATTTTAAAAAGCATTGCTATAAACATAGGGGTGCATATATTCTTTCTGATTAGTGTTTCAGGCTTGTTCAGATATAGTTCTAGAAATGGAATTACTGGGTCAAATGAGAGTTCCATTTTTAATTTTTTGAGGAGGCACCATATTGTTTTCTTTTTCTTCCTCACCCGAGGATATTTTTCCATTTTTGTTCAGATAGAGTGGGAGGGAGGGAGAGAGAGAGAGAGAGAAACATCGACGTGAAAGGGACACATTGAGTGGCTGCCTCCCACACAACCCCAACCAGGGCCAGGGACAAACTGCAACCGAGGTACATGCCCTTAGCGGGAACTGAACCCGGATCTCTCTGGACTGCGGGCCAATGCTCTAACCACTGAGTCAAACCGGCCAGGGCCACCATATTGTTTTCCATAGTGACTGCACCAGTATGCATTCCCACATGCAGTGCACTAAAGAACCTTTTCTCCACATCCTTGCCAGTACTTGTTGTTTGAGGATTTGTTGATGGCTGCTACTCTGGCATGATATTCTGAGGTGATAACTCATAGTCATTTTAATTAGCATCTCTCTGATGATTAGTGATATTGATCAGTTTTTCATATGTCTCCTGGCCATTTGTATGTCCTGTTTGGAGAAGCATCTATTCAGGTCTTCTGCCCATTTTTAAATTGGATTGTTTGTCTTCCTTTTGCTGAGTTGTATGAGCACTCTATATATTTTAGATATTAACCCCTTATCCAATGTATCATTGGCAAATATGTTCTCCTTTACAGTAAGTTCCTTTATCATTTTGATGCTGGTTTCTTTTGCTGTGCAGATTTTTACTTTGATGTAGTCCCATTTATTCATTTTTTTTTCTTTGTTTTTCTTGCCCTAGACAATATATCAATAAAAATTTCTCTACTTATGATGTCTGAGACTTTCTGACTACATTTTCTTCTAAGATTTTTATGGTTTTATGAGTCACATTTAAGTCTTTTATCCATTTTGAGTTTATTCTTGTGTATGATATAAGTTGGTGGTCTAGTTTCATTTTTTTGCATGTAGCTGTCCAATTTTCCCAACACTATTTATTGAAGAAACTATTTTCTCTATTGTGTGCTCTTGCCTCCTTTGTCAAATATTAATTGTGCATACTGTCTTGTGTTGATTTCTGGGTTCTCTGTTCTGTTCGATTGATCTATCTGCCTTTTCTTGTGCCAGTACCAGTCTGTTGTGATTATGCTGGTTTTGTAATATAACTTGATATCTGGTATTGTGATCCCCCTATCACTTTGTTCTTTTTTTTTTTTTTTTTTTTCAAGATTGCTGTGGCTATTCAAGGTCTTTTTTTGTTCCATATAAACTTTTGGAGTATTTGTTCTAGATCTGTGAAATATGCTGTTGGTATTTTAATTAGGATTGCATTAAATCTGTAGATGACTTTGGGTAGCACAGACATTTTAATGATGTGGATTCTTCCAATCCATAAACATGGTATATATTTCTACTTTTTTATATCTTGCTTTATTTATTTTTTCAATGTATTGTAGTCTTCTGAGAATAGGTCTTTTACCTCTTTGGTTAAGTTTATTCCTAGATATTTTATTTATTTATTTTTTGTTGTAGTGGTAAATGGGATTTTTTTTTCTTAAGTTTCCTTTTAGAGTGTTCATTTTTGATGTATAAGAATGCTGTTGATTTCTTTCTTTTTTTATCCTCACCCGAGGATATTTTTCCATTTTTTGTACAGATAGAGTGGGAGGGAGAGAGAGGAAGGGAGAGAGAGTGAGAAACATCGACGTGAAGGGACACATCGAGTGGCTGCCACCCGCACGACCAACCAGGGCCGGGGACAAACGGCAACCGAAGTATGTGCCCTTAGCGGGAACCGAACCCGGGTCTCTCCAGACCGCAGGCCGGCTCTAACCGCTGAGCCAAACTGGTCAGGGCGATTTCTTGACATTAATTTTATATTCTGCTACTTTGCCAAATTTATTTATTAAATCTAGTAGATTTTTGATGGAATCTTTAGGGTTTTCTATGTACAATATCAAGTGTTCTGTGAATAATGACAGTTTTACTTTCTCCTTTCTCATTTGGGTACCTTTCATTTTTTCTTCTTGTCTAATTGCTGTGGCTAAGACTTTAGGTACCATTGAGTGTGATCTTGGCTATAGGTTTTTTCATATATGGCCTTTATTATGTTGAGATATAATCTTTCTATTCCCACTTTGCTGAGCATTTCTATCATAAATGGGTGCTGTATTTTGTCAAATGTTTTTTCAGCGTCTTTTGATATGATCATTGGATTTTTAACATTCATTTTGTTTATGTGATGTATCACTTTTATTGATTTATGAATATTGTACCAGCCTTGCATCGCTGAAACAAATCTCATTTGGTCATGGTGAATAATTTTTTAATATACTGCTGGATCAGACTGACAATCCCCAGAAGAGGGGGTGGGGGAGAGAAGAGATAAACCACAGAACTTATATGCATGTATGCATGAACAATGGACATGGACAACAAAGCTGGGGACAGGGTGGGGAGGGGAGGAGGGGGTATCAGTGGGGAGAAAAGGAGAAACATCTGTAACAAAAACAAATTAATATATATATATATATATATATATATATATATACACTGCTGGATCAGATTTGCTAATATTTTGTTGAGGAGTTTGGCATGTATGTTTTTCAGGGATATTGGCCTATAGTTTTCTTTCTTTGTAATGTCTGTATCCAGTTTTGGAATTAGGATTATGCTGTCCTCATAAAAAGAGCTTGGAAGTAGTTCTTCCTCTTGAATTTTTTGGAATAGTTTGAGAATAATGAGTGTTAGTTCTTCTTGAATGTTCTGTAAAACTCCTGCAAGAAGGCATCCAGACCCAGGCTCTAGTTTGCTGAAAGTTTATTGATTACAGCTTCAATTTCCTTAGTTTTGTTTTTTTGTTTGTTTGTTTTTGGGGGTTTTTTTTTTGGTCTGTTCAAGTTTTCTGATACTTCCTCATTCAGTTTTGGGAAACTGTGTGATTCTAAGAATTTGTCCATTTCCCCTAGATTGTTCAATCTGTTCACATATAATTGTTCACAGTCCTTTCTAACAATCCTTTGTATTTCTGTGGCATCAATAGTTACTTCTCCTCTTTCATTTCTTATTTTGTTTATTTGAGTCTTTTTGTTTCTTGGTTAGTCTAGCTAAAGGTTCTTCAGTCTTGTTTATCTTTTCAAAGAACAAGTCCTTGGTTTTATTGATCTTTTGATTTTTTTTTTTTTTTTTAGTGTCTATGTCATTTATTTCCACTCTGACTTTTTTTTTCTTTTTCTTCTACTTGCTCGGGATTTGTTTGTTTGTTTTTTTACTTCTAGCTTTTTATTTGGTAGGGTTAGATACTCTATTAGAATTTTTTTGTTTGGTTCTTGAGGTAGGCCTGTTATGCTATGAACTTCTCTCTCAGGACTGCTTTCCCTATGTCTATAGATTTTGTGTTGTTGTGTGTTCATTTTCATTGATTTTCAGGAAGTTTTTTTTTATTTCTTCCTTGATCTGTGTAGTAACCCATTCACTGTTTAACAACATGCTATTTAGCCTTCATGTGTTTGAATGTTTCTATGTGTTTTTTATTGTAAGTAATTTCTAGTTTCATGCCATTGTGATTTGAGAAGATGATTGGTATGATTTCAATCTTCTTGAACTTGTAGAGACTTAGTTTGTATCCTAACATTTGGTCTATCTTTGAGAATGTTTTATGTGCACTTGAAAAGAATGTGAATTCTGCAGTTTTGGTGTGTAATTCTCTGTAAATATCTATTAAACCCATTTGATTTAGTGCATCATTTAGAGTCTCTGTTTCCTAATTTTTTGTCTAGAGAATCTATCCACTGATGTCAATGGGATGCTGAAGTCTCCTGCTATATGTGTTGCTGCTGTTTTCTTCTTGGAAGTTCTCCAGAAGTTTTTCAGTATATTTTGGTGCTCCTGTATTGGGTGCATATATGTTTACCAAAGTTATATTCTCCTGTTGAATAGAGCCTTTCAATATTACATAGTGGCCTT